TTTTTTTTCGTTCTCCTTGTTTGAGAAATTCCGAAAATAGGTTTAGGCTTTTAAAAATCGGATTTTGACTTTGGGAATTCCTGAAAATTCGCATTTTTGAAAATTGGAGCGATTTTTCTTCTGAAATTTTCCGAAATTTTTTAGCACACTAAGCCGTATCTGACCCTCAAACTGCAACTTCCGGGTAGTTCACTCAGTAACGGTGAACTCCCGGACTAGTAAACTGCAACTTCCGGGTAGTTCACTCGAAAGAGACCTAGTCATATTACCATTCAAATTCGTTTTATAATTTCATTGATTAATTATCTCGTATTTTTTCATTAATTAAATTTATTGATTAAAACTTTAATTATTTTATTACGAATTTTCTGAATTGGTTTCGGGAATTTATTTTCGGGTTTTGATTAGGGGTCTATAGTCCAACAAGKGGGACAGGGGATTGTAGGTGTATTGCTTGATTGTTCTACCCCTGTTCCCACTCTCTCTACCCCCCGTGTTCTGTGATTACCGGGACTKCTCAAGTACCGCATCGGTTCAGACTGATGTCGACGGAACAGGACACCGGGGCACTGCCACGACGCAGTGCCAGAATCGCAGTTCGTGCCCGCCCTGCAGTACCTCCAAGACCGAAGAAACTCAGCAGGCGGACGACTCCAGCAGCATCGAGTACGGCATTGACGGTACAAGACGCCACCGGAGATCATCCCGCATACCCAGTCCGAGGAGCCAATGAGCCAGCGGCTGATTATCGTGGGCGGCTACAGGCATTTACGGAAGCCGTAGCTGCCGTCGAGGCCCGGAAGGAGACAGCAGAGGCAGAACGTCAGCGGCTAGCCAATGAAGCGGCAGCCGAAGCTCAGCGAACGACTGAGACTGACGTAGAGACACGAGACAGAYGGAATGCCAGCAGCACGGAGTCCTTGATTGCTTGTGAGCATCAGTGGACGACGATACTCCAAGRCATGATCTTTGTGCCTACGGAAATGCGGGCAGACCCGACACCGGCGGAGGCAGAGAGAAGTAACCTGGCTAACTTGCTGCTGGGCATGATGAGAGGTATTATGTGGAATAATAYACTGCTGCATTCACATCTGCGCACGGACGCGACGCAGCGACAAACATACAAGAACGATATGACTGCGTTAACAACTGCTATCCGCACAGAGGCAACGCAGCAGCAGCAACAGCATCATTTGTTGAATTCCACTATCACACGCGTCAACAGCATAGAGGCTAACGCCTCAGCAGCGCCAGGCTGCACGACAGACGTGACGAAGCAACTCAACGAGCGCATCGATCACGTCGTCACCATCATCGGCGACACAAGTACTTTCAACGGACCAGACTCGATCAGCAGCACGGTGGCCGCCATCAAGACGGACATCACCAAGCTACAGACGAGACCGGAAGCCGCTACAAAGACGTTCAAGATGCCGCACTTTGACATCAGCAAGTTCGATGATTACAACAAGTCGGACGCCTTGTCATGGTGGCAACGCTTCCTCACGGAAGCATCATGCCGCATGGTCCCGGCGGACGACATGTTGAAGGCAGTATATCTGCAGCTGATTGGAGGAGCGCAGGGATGGATGAACCACCTAGCGGCTACACACAWGTGCACTATCACCGAACTCCACACGCACATTACGTGGAAGGAGTTCGAGCAGCTATGGTTCACCAGATTCATGGTCCGCAACGTCGTGAAGATGGCCATGAACGAGGTCTACACATGCTCTCAAGGGAACATGCCAACGCGAGACAGGGCATCAAAATGGCAGAAGATAGTGACTACGCCAGGCTTCGACTTGATGTTCCCTAATCAACGATTCCGAGTTCTTCTCGAGATCGTGCGCAGGATTGCGGTCGGCACTCGGCAACGAGTACGACTATACTACGTTCCAGGCCATTCTGGATAGAACAATGCCGTGTGCCAAGCGGACGACAAGGCCGCTAACGAGAGGCAATCCCAGCCGCATTATGTGGCTAAACAGGCCTATCAACGTCCGGCACATAACAATGCCGTGTTTTCTGAGGAAATCGACAACCACCACGCTGCGGCAGCATCCTCGAGTAATGGAGGAATGGTCGCAGCGCTCCCGCCGAAGCGTCCGAAGAGAGTTCGCAAGAACAASGCGACACAAGRGACARCGGCGACGGGAGMTGGGCAGCAGCCATGGAYGGCTTATAAGATCACCAAGGAGGTCTATGACCTTTGTCAAAAGTACGCATACTGCCTATGGTGCAACAGTGTAGTACACACTACCGCACAATGCCCACACAAGGGCAAGGCACGCGTACCCCGTCCATCCAACTCGGGAAACTGAGTTACGCAAGGAGAGGGGCGACATCTCTCCTCACTCCGCCGGACGCGGTTGCCTTGCTAGCAATCGATGTCACTCCCGGGGAGCATGCGTTAGTCGCTGATCCTCGTGCTACGTACGAGGATTATGCCGCCCAGCTRGTACCACCATTAGACCAGCCAAGCCACGTGCACTTAGCTAGCGTATGCGCAACCTGTACACCGTCGGCAAGTGATCCGGTCAGTTCGCCACTGATTTCCGAGGACTCGACGGCGTGGTCAAGACTTGAGGAGCTTGACCCGCTCACGAGAGAGGACTTCGCCTGGATGCCTCTACCCTCGACCGGAACCTTGCCAAGGSCGCATTGCAACGCCTTGATGGCAAATCTACGCTTCTACTTGCACACTACAGTACCAGCTCCGTTGACGGACGACGGGGTAGCGGTTGCCGATCTCCGCTCCTATCTTGCGAAGATAGACCGCGAGCACGCCACCCAAAGGTACGCTGAAACCGACGCACCTTTGCTCTATATCCGCATTCAAATCGGAAAGGCAACCTGTAGTGCCTTGATTGATTGCGGAGCGTCTCGCAACTTCGCGAGTGAAGCCTTTATGGCCCGCGCAGGTCTTGGCCCGCGCGTTCGAAGAAAGACGCAACCTATGCAAGTTACACTCGCGGACGGCCGCACGCAAAAGTCAATTGACCGATGCGTTGACGGCGTTCCGGTCTACTTTGCGCCACTTGCGTGCGAGCCGATGTCTTTTGACATCCTCGACACCAAGTTCGACATGATTCTAGGCATGTCTTGGTTGCATAGCGCCGATCATCCGGTGAACTTCCATGACCGAGCCGTTCACATCCGTGATCGGAACGGAGTGTTAGTCCCATGAACGATTGCTTGTCACGTGGTTTCCGTTGTGCGGATTGGCGACGCCATTGCTCGGAATGACGTCGAGGAGATGGGCCTTGTATTCTTGCATGCTCTTCCCTCGCCGGACGGACCAGCTGCGTCACCGCCGGACCCACGCATTTCTCACCTCTTGGACGAGTATAGAGACGTCTTCGAGGCTCCCACTGGAACGGTTCCGGATCGGCCCATACGTCACGGGATCACTCTCGAGGCTAGCGTCGTCCCTCCGCGTGGATGTATCTACCGCATGAGCGAAGAGGAACTCGAGGTGCTTCGCGCACAACTCGATTATCTTCTCAACAAGGGTTGGATTCGCCTTAGTTGCTCGCCATACGGAGCACCTGTTTTCTTCGTTCGGAAGAAATACAAAGATCTACGGTTATGCATCGACTACCGGAAACTTAACGCACAAACCGAAAAGAACGCCGGCCCTCTCCCTCGGATTGATGATCTCCTTGAGCGGTTAGGCGGTGCGACGTACTTCTCGAAGTTGGATTTGAAGTCAGGTTACCACCAGATTGAAATCCAGCCTCAAGACCGGTACAAGACCGCGTTCAAGACGCGGTATGGGCATTTTGAGTGGGTTGTCATGCCATTTGGCCTCACCAATGCGCCCGCAACGTTTCAAGCAGCGATGACGAACAAAATCCAAGCCATCGTGGATTGGCTGGAACCCCGTTGCACTACGGATGTACGCTCTTTCATGGGTTTGGCTGGATATTATCAGCGATTCGTCGAGTCATACTCGAAAGTGGCCGCTCCTTTGTCGAGACATCAGTCCCCGAAGGTGCCCTTCGAGTTCGACGACGCAGCCCGTGGCGCGTTCACTACGTTGAAGGCAGCGATGCAAGCTGCACCTGCCCTCCGTATATATGACCCCACCCTACCCACCCAAGTGACTACGGACGCTTCGGGATACGGTATTGGTGCGGTGTTGGAACAGTGTCACGAGGACGGTTGGCATCCGGTTGAGTACTTCTTTCAGAAGGTGCCTCTCGTCAACACTCTTGATGACGCTAGGAAGAAAGAGCTACTTGCGTTCGTCACCGTCCTCAAACGGTGGCGCCACTTTCTTCTTGGCCGTCGGTGTTTTAAATGGAATACGGATAACAATCCGTTGACATTTTACAAAACGCAGGACACGGTCACTAGTACGATCGGTCGATGGATGTATTACATCGACCAGTTCGATTTTGACCCGTGTCACATTCCCGGTCCCGCCAATCGAGCTGCGGACGCCCTCTCACGACGGCCCGACTTTTGTGCCATTGTGACCACGACATTCGACCTCGATGACGATCTGCAGCAGCATTTCGTCAAAGGCTACAAGTCCGATCCAACTTACTCTACGCTTTACGCAGAGCTTTCATCGGATCAACCGCCGGCTAGCCACTATCGGATTTCCGACGGGTTCCTCCTTCACACGAGAGGAAAGGACTTGTTAGTTGTGCCCCAAGATCGCATCTTACGGACGACTTTCGGCACACCTTGGCGTGAACCGCACACTAGCACGCCTTCGCCAGCCTTTTCACTGGCCCGACGTCCTTCACGCCGTCACGAGGTACATTGAGTCATGTGCAGTTTGCCACCGCAACAAGGGTCGATCTCGAGTCCCCTTCGGCGAACTGAAACCGTTGCCGATCCCTCGGGCACCACGCCTCTCCATTGCTATGAACGTGACAGGCCCGTTTCCCCGTGATCGCCACGGCCATGACGGTATTCTCACGGTCGTTGACCGTTTGAGTAAGTATGCTCGCTTTCTTCCTTGCAAGTATCACGCTGCAGCGCCTGAGCTCGCACGACTCTTGCACACCGGTTGGATTACCAACCAAGGTGTTCCGGAAGAC